GTTAATCACATATACATTAAAAAAAATAAATGTAGTAGAAGGACAATAAATATTTTATACAAACTTCTATTTATTTATATTTACATGTATCTAGGGCAATATTAAACCTTTTTACCTACACACACACATATACATATATTTTTCTATTAACACATATACATATATCTTGTGTCATGTACAAATTTTCTACATAGTAATTCAATAGCAATATGGTAGGAGAAAAGTCAAAACACAGATACAAATACAAAAAAAAAATATACAAAGACAAATACTATAACAAAACTATAAAAGAAACCTATACCACTACAACCCATGAAGGGTTTTTAAATGTATATGTGATTAACCAACCAAATATAGCATTATTTTGTTTGAAAAACTCTTGGTATTTATATGTTGGTTTCAAAACATATTTCTGACTGGTATCGATAAGAGCTAATGAACAGAGTTAAAATTAGTCCTGGACAAATTTGTTTAAAATAATATTTAAGTAATCGATGAATAAACCAAAAAAAATACTTTTGAAATGTTTTATTTTATCATTTAACTAAATTTCTTCAACATTTATAAATCTTATTTCTGAAATTACTATTTCATCAAATAATTTTATCCTGAATTAAGAACTTTGAAGTGAAGTTCATCTAAATAAATTTTAGTCTGTCAAGAGGTTTGGTTTCATTGAGCTAAAATCGAGTTAGTTATATTGAGTCAGTTATCGGAGGACAGTTATCAAATTGCCTCAAATTGAACCTACTGTTAACGGGACTTATAAAACAACTATAAGTATGACACTGAAGCAAGCAATGTTTGGAGACAGTCCATTAAAATTCTAGGATTTATTTTTCAGTTATGATTCAGGAGGGATAAACTTAGATGGATGATATAGATAAGTTATTGGTACCATTATTAAGAATTCCTCAGCCTGGCTTCACAAATGGTCTTTTTTCTCCAACCAATGAAAATTATCTGATACCATACTATTAAACTTGCCTCATTGTATTGTAAATAAACTTGACGTTTTTGTATTATATTTTATACAAACTTCTATTTATTTATATTTACATGTATCTAGGGCAATATTAAACCTTTTTACCTACACACACACATATACATATATTTTTCTATTAACACATATACATATATCTTGTGTCATGTACAAATTTTCTACATAGTAATTCAATAGCAATATGGTAGGAGAAAAGTCAAAACACAGATACAAATACAAAAAAAAAAATATACAAAGACAAATACTATAACAAAACTATAAAAGAAACCTATACCACTACAACCCATGAAGGGTTTTTAAATGTATATGTGATTAACCAACCAAATATAGCATTATTTTGTTTGAAAAACTCTTGGTATTTATATGTTGGTTTCAAAACATATTTCTGACTGGTATCGATAAGAGCTAATGAACAGAGTTAAAATTAGTCCTGGACAAATTTGTTTAAAATAATATTTAAGTAATTGATGAATAAACCAAAAAAAATACTTTTGAAATGTTTTATTTTATCATTTAACTAAATTTCTTCAACATTTATAAATCTTATTTCTGAAATTACTATTTCATCAAATAATTTTATCCTGAATTAAGAACTTTGAAGTGAAGTTCATCTAAATAAATTTTAGTCTGTCAAGAGGTTTGGTTTCATTGAGCTAAAATCGAGTTAGTTATATTGAGTCAGTTATCGGAGGACAGTTATCAAATTGCCTCAAATTGAACCTACTGTTAACGGGACTTATAAAACAACTATAAGTATGACACTGAAGCAAGCAATGTTTGGAGACAGTCCATTAAAATTCTAGGATTTATTTTTCAGTTATGATTCAGGAGGGATAAACTTAGATGGATGATATAGATAAGTTATTGGTACCATTATTAAGAATTCCTCAGCCTGGCTTCACAAATGGTCTCTTTTCTCCAACCAATGAAAATTATCTGATACCATACTATTAAACTTGCCTCATTGTATTGTAAATAAACTTGACGTTTTTGTATTATATTTTGTGATGTGTACTTAACAAAAATACAGTAACAAATTTTATGTTTGAGATGGAAAGGGAAGCCAGAGCCATATGTTAGGTAGAACGTAGCCAGCCGGCTAGTAAAGAGGATTGAGAGAAGAAAAAGTGACTAACAAGTAGTGAGTGTCAATAAGGGAGAATAGAAGATAATAGGGTAATTATTTACAAGTAGTACTCCTCCCGCCATCTTGGTTGAATCGAAGTTATACCCACTGTTCAGATAAGGTTTACATTACAAAATACAGCACTAAAAAGCGCCACTATTGCGGATGGGTTGTCTTGTCCCCTCCACCTCACCTCCTTTTTAAGTAAATGTAGAAATTATATTATATATATAATATTATAAAGGTGAATACAACAATACAGAGGAGGATTCACTGCAGAACAGGATGAGTGGAATATAAATAGTGATGATTAGACAGTGCGCCAAGAATAGACCCCGACAATACTGAATTGAAATTTATAAATGTTACGAACAATTAATGTATGCTTTCATATTGAATAATTGAGGAATGTGTGTTTGTTGTCTCAACCCAACCTTTGAAATAATCATTGTGTAAAATAAAAATAATTTGGTTAAAAAACTGTTTTGTTTACTTTCCAAATGAAACTTAACCTAACAATATATATATATATATATATATATATATAGTAATGTAACCTTTATTGGAAGTGGGTAAAAAGGGTTTAATAAATTAATGATCAACAGTTAAAAGGCATACTAATCTAGTTCTCTAGTTCAGGGAAAAGAAAATGGCTGCTCTATAGTTTCCCCTGAAAAGAAAATCCCAAAGTAGAGAGGGAACAAAGGATTTTTGTTTTGGCAAGCAGTTGGAGTTTGGCTTGGGTGAAGAGAGAATGGAAGAAGGAATCCTGGCTCCAGTGGGTAAAACCAGTAATAGTATTACCACCTTGGAAGTTGTTGTTTGGCAGAGAGACTAGTTGTTTGGGGTTGCAAGAGAGAGATGATCTCCCAGGGAGCCTTGAGTTGAGTAGAAGAAAGTGTCACATCTTGGAAGATGTGTTTGGCAGAACATAGGAAAATGTTGAAAGACAAATGAATACAATGCAACAAAGGAAGAAACAATATATATAGAAAAAGGATTTGGCAATCCATACATGACTTTATTTTAAAATCAAACAGTGTTTAGTGTAGTTAATGTTAGTCTGTCTGAGCCTTTTGATCCGATTGTCAGTAACCCACACCTTGAGGTAAAATAATTATAAATTACAATTCAATATATTAATACTCTTATAATCTTGTTTATTAGTTAACTACCTCTTAAATATTTGTATGTTATCCATATGTCAGATTAATGTACAGGTTTTTTTAACTCAACTATTATTCTAAGGGGACTTCAGTCCCAGAATAAAATGGTTTTTCTTTTCATTTGAATTGTAATATTTATATAAGCTATATTGCTTTTTACAAATAACACAATATTTACAACATCTTTTATAACACAGCACACAATACTTATAAATGAAAGAAATAAAGCATGTTTCCCGAGGTAAAAAAAATCTTAGTCTCATAAGTAATTGTAATATAATGAATGTAGTAGTATAATTTTTATAAATAAACTATCAAGTGATTATTTATATTTTTGTCTTTGATATTATATAAATAAAAAAATATGACCGTATACTGTAATAGCCAATGAATGAATTACATTGGTGATTTACTCAAATGAAAGAATTCACTGTGATTTATATTTATAATATTTTATTTTTTGTTTTAAAATAACTTTAATGTCATTAAGTTTCAAGCCCATCTCAACCTCTCTCATTTTTGGTACCTTCTTGTTATAGCTTTATGTTTAGACAGTGAAACTTTTTTATTTTATTTTTTTGTCAATTGGTGTGCAGTAAGAAGGTAGTTCCATTTTGGGCCATCCTTTAGTTCCAAACTTTTCTTCTTATTGCTCCTATTAGAGTACAAATAATAATTAAGAGTAAATGAGAATACATTTACTGCAACTATGGTTCAAATTTTGGTATACCAGGTGTAAATATGAAAACCGGTATTCGTCTATAGATGGCTTTAGTTGTTGATGTAATTAACGTTTGACCATGTTAATGGTGCTATTTTGTTTTTTCAACAGCATTGTGCCTACAAACCACAATTTGCAGCATTAGCATTAGTTTTCTTCAATCATGTAAAGAAAATTGGTGCAGAATTGCAGTGAATGCTTTTCGAAGTTTGAGGTGAGAATGTTCTTCGTAAATCAAACTGCTTTAGATGGTTTGAAAAATTCAAAGTGGTGATTTTGACATGATAAATGAAGAATGCTGAAAACCATTGAACAGATTTGAAGACAGCAAATCGCAACCATTGCTGGATGAGTATGATGCTCAAACCCAACAACGTAGGAATTAATTGAATGTAACACTATCTCCATAGGTTTGTAAGCCATGGGAAAGATCTAGAAGACGAGAAAATAGGTCCACATGGACTGAATGAAAGACAGTAAAAAAACCACCTCCGAAATACTGCTTTTATTACTGCTGATTAATTTCAATTGAGTCTTCTATGAAAAAAGATTAGGAGAGAGAGAGAGAGAGAATTAGAGAGGAGAAAGAGAGAGAAAAAAAAAGTGATTTTGCTTCTTGATAATGAACTATCACACCCAACAAATCTAGAGAAGGAAATGACTGAGGCGTTCAGTTGGGAAATAGCACATGCCGCTTACTCACCAGACTTATCTCCAGCCAAGTATAATTTAATAGCTCAGTAGGCCTTCACTCCTAAATTTAAAAAAAAAATTTAAATCATATAAAATATAAATCATTACATTATGGCGACTCTCCCAAGATTATTTTTAATTTAAAAAATCTTTACAAATCTCTCCTATGTTCAATAATTGGAGGCTGTATATTATATTTATTAAATATATGTTTAATCTTAACCATTTTATTTTACAAAAAAAATTCAATCAAATCATATTAGGAATAATAATTAAGACAAGAGACTTTTTTTAATACTTTTATTTACATTCAGTTCATATGTTGAATAAATCAATGAAAAACACTTTTTAACAGTTTTTAAAAATAAAACTTCTTAACAAATTATTAATTATCTTGCTTAATTATTTTGTTTTTTAGCTAAATATAAAAACACCTCTTCTAAACTTGAATCCGTGATTATATAATCAGACACTATGTTCGATTGTGCCTTTATTTGTTCCATAATTTCAAATAGGCTCGATATTTTATAAATATTTGTTTTTATATGGTAATGGAGAAGTATCTAAAATAAATGTGTTTTATTTAGATTATTGGGTATTATAAACAACTATTAATTTAATCAATACTAAAACAAAATAATGAATAAAAAATGTATACCTGATGTTCATCTTTCAGTTCACAATGCGGTGAAAATGCAGATTCTACGATGCTCTTTAATGTTGCTAATTCATCATCTGTGTGAGATGATAAGGTTATTTTAATCACATATCCTGTGCCATACAAAGTTTTTAGATGTTGAATATTTCCTATACACTCCATTTTCCCTGCAGCCATAATGGTTAGTCTTTTACATACAGCTTCACATTCATTCATACTGTAGACAAAATTAATTATTTCAATAACTTCAATACATAAAACATTTAAGAAAAAATTCAATTTCATAACAACAGGATTACAAATTAGAGTAAAAATCAATCTATAAGTGGTCCAGCTACAAATTTATAAAAAAGATGATAAAACAAATCCTGAATGATAAGCTCAAATTATTTCTATAACAAAAAACAAACAAAAAAAAAATGCTAAAAATATTAAGTAAATAATAGAAATGCTATTTAAAAATACATGTAAGGAAAGGCTATTGAATTATATATTCGGACATCATTTAATCTGAATTGATGATTGCTTTAATTATACTTGTTTAGGAAAATAATTTTTCACAAACCTAAATATTTTCAAAAAGTGTCATTACTTCCTTTAAACGTAAGTCTAATGGGAGGAATTTTCTAAATTCATGTAACTTTGCACATAAACATTTTGAAATTTATTTCTTAAATCCTATGCTGTTTTATGAATCTATTAATTACATTTGTAACTCATCCTGAATTGTTTCCACGTCTTTATTAAATGATAATGAAAAAACTGAGTATGTTTTTTTGAGATATAAATATTTTAAATTACGTTACGAATTCAGTTATTAACTTTTGCAAATATGAAGCATATTTTCTAACTTCTTATTAAAAGTCAAAATGTAAAATATTTGAAGGGCCACATGAGAAACATGCATATTTTTTCTGCTTCAGATGGTCCTGACTAATAGCAATACAAAATTAATTGTGAAGGAATCCCCATTTAAACTACCAAAACACAACTTAGTTAAAAAACTATTATTAAACAAAATATAAGGAAATCCCCTTTTTTTAGTGCCTTCAAATATACAAAATTATGTTAAAATTCTTAGAAAACATTTAGTTTTTCCTTCTCTCCTTCCAATAATTGTGTAAAACAATGGCTAACACCGAAAAACCCATTATTCTCTAAAAATAAATAAAAACACAGAAAGGTGGAATGGAATTAAGGCTGGAATGATAGTATTTATTTACCGTGTAAGGGTAAGTTTTTTTTTTTTGTTTCTCCTTCCTCGCTGTTAGACTAAACAGGATTCCCGGGGCCAGAGATTAATGTCAGAGTCAAAAGCACCGAGACACAAATTCGTAATTATTTTGTCAAATTACCTCTCATTAGGTTGTCAGGCAACGCAGTGCACAGCTAACTTGTGTTAGCCCGCTCGGAAATCCCACTCCTCTTTCATAAGTATTTGTTTGTCAGTATATAGACCATTTAAGGGCCACTTCAGCCTCATTAAACTAAGTGGTTAAGTTGAGTAATTTTACCTATGAGATGAAATAATAATGGCTTGGTCGTAATTGCCACAAGCTTCTATGACACTCCATAAATTTCTGCGAATGAATGGATCTACACCACTCGTAGGTTCATCCAGGAGGATTATAGATGGGTCACCAATGAATGCCAGAGCAGCATTCAGCTTCCTCTTATTTCCTCCACTGTAGTTTTTAGATGGTACATCGCTATACTCCTCAAGACCTAAAAAAAGATTGTAGTGATGTCATCAATGTTTATACAATTTAGTTATTGTAACATTTGTTTTTGCCACAGGAGTCCTTATCACAAAGTTAAAAACAGATTTATTTTATTTTACAATGATGTAGAGATGGTTGACCGTTAATATAATATGAGAAGGAGTTAGTCGAGGGTGCGGTCAAATAAATAAAAAAAATTAAAATATATAAATTATTTTAATTTTTTTTATTTATTTGACCGCACCCTCGACTAACTCCTTCTCATATTTTATTTTATATTTATATTGAATAAATGTTTTGTTCTAAGAATTTATTTTTATACATGATATATTGAATATTTGTCCAAATGAATAATCAAGATGATAAAAAGAAAAATATTAAAAACTTTATCAGATGGGGATGTTTCAGTCCACATTGCAGACCTTCTTCAGGGTTACAAAAAACAAGACACAGGTGGAAATACAATAGCTAAATAAAATTAATATAAAATGAAATATACTAAAATCAACTGAGGGGTGAGGTGAGGGAAATACAATGCTATTCTACTTGCAAATTGCAATTCTACTAATAGGATTAAGTTCTAGGTGAGCATAGATATTTCAGAAATTGTGTTTTTTCATCTTTAGGTATGAGGTCTTATCAAAATCAAAGAAGTAGTTTAAAACTTCTTAATATAATTTAGAGGCAGTTGTGTAACAGGAAGACATAAATAATTTATGTTGGGATGTACAAGATAAGAGGTGGTTTTTAGTTTCACCAATGTGTAAGAATTGTGATCAAGAGCTGAACACAGAATGAGGTAAACAATATTATGTGGTGTTGGAGAGAATATTTTGAGCTGAGAAAAAAGATAGACAAATTTATAAAGGAAGGAGATGGTCCAGGGTTGCGGTCATAAAAAGGCTAAATAGTGGTGAAACTATTTTATTGAAAGCCTATTTAATTAGGCTTTCAATAAAATTGTTTTACCACTATTTAGCCTTTTTATGACCGCAACCTCGGACCATCTCCTTCCTTTATAATGCAACGGTCAACCATTAAATATTCAATAGACAAATTTATTATTGAACTTATGGCTAAGATGTTATGTAAGGATATTGAATTTAAGAACTTCTTTATGTAATCAGTGTTAATCTATCGCAATACTATTCCTTTACTTTATATTACTTATATACGTAAATGAAAGTAAAAATAAACAGATAACATCGTTGTATGAATCAAGACCTCTTTAAAGTTCATACACAAGTGAAAAATTCTAATTTTCTTCAAATCAATGGAATACGACCTAGGAACCTACGCGAATTCTTTGATATTTATCGCCTAAAGGCCATACTTTAACGAAGTTGTTGGCGAACACCAATATTCATTACAATTAATTAAATAAGCCATACAAAGATTGCTAACCCTCTACGTTATGCAACTCTTTTTCCGCCAATATGTCGTAGAATGAAGATTCGCCTAGTGTGTACGCATCTCAAGATTTCCCGATAATTTGTAGAAACATTTCTATTGTCTAAACGTAAGACTCTAAATCATAAAAAATAAAAAAAATTCGGAGAGCTAACTTCACATTTTTTGCAACTATGAGCCTTGCAACACCATTGCTAACTACATTGACAGACAAAAAATTTCACCCACTTGAATTTTTTCATGTTTTCATCTAAAATTATTTCTGCCACTAGTAAAAGAAAGTTTTATTTGTATATAATACATGGTATTTGTAGATAATATTTGGTATTTATGGAATTTTATAATCTTTTTCACCTTTAATAATCAAAATGTGATTGGGTAAGAAAGATTAGAGAAAAAAAAATTGAAAAACGAACCATTATTAATTACATCATCGTTTAGTAGTGTTTCCTCCTCTTGCCTTCACTACTTTTTGAAGACGCCTCGACATACTTTCCACCAGTCGGGAAATGTCCCTTTGCTGGAGGATAGCCCATTCCTCCCGAAGAGCCCTTTCAAGGTCCTGCAGTGTAAGGTTCGGATAAGGTGTAAGGTCCGGAAGTGTTGCACCCGCTCTTATTCGTCTTCCGAGGTTATCCCATAAATGCTCAATGGGGTTCAAATCTGGAGAACCTGCTGGCCAGGCTTAAACCTCAATATTGTTCTGTTAAAGGAACGTCTGCACTATGCGGGCGTGCATTATCGTGTATTAGAATAGAACGATCGCCGATTTCGTGAAGATAGGCAACACATGAGGTTCCAAAATCACATCTACATAGCGAATGGCCGTCAAAGACCCTCCATGAACAACAACCAATTCTGTGCGGCGCTCCATTGAAATCCCAGCCCACACCATTAAGGAATCATGTTGGAAAGGTTGGCTCTGGGAAAAATTACAGGCTGCATATCTTTCGTTTCTTCTTCACGACACCCTTTCACGCCTGTCTGGAGATCGAAGAGTGAATCTTGACTCATCTGTAAAAAGTACAGCACTCCATTTGTCCCTAGTCCAATGGCTGTGTTCTCGAGCAAAAGCCAGCCGTGTTACTCTGTGAGTTCTGGTCAACTCTGGTCCTCTTACTGGACGAAAAGCCATTAATCCATACTCATTTAATCTTCTCCGAGCGGTACGTTCAGAAATTTGCACACCTCGAACTTCTTCGAGCTGATGAATCGCTTGAACAACGGTAAGGTGCCGGTTTCGTAAAATTCTCAAAGTCAAAAACCGGTCATCCCCTGGTTGGTTCTGTTACCCTAGGCCGACCAGAACCGGGCCTTCTATTGTAAGAACCAGTTTCCCGAAAACGACTGACGGTGTCTCGTAAAGTTTCATATGGAATTCCGATGGCATTAGCTGCATATCTAATGGAACGTCCATCATCAATAAGTGCCGCACCACGCGCAACATCCTCAGCACTAAGAGGCATTTTTAATCTTAATATTGAAAAAATTAAAAGCCGGAGACTAAGAAATGTGCTGCAAGAAACGGTATTGGACTAATGATACTGAATAAACATTTTGATTCCATAGAAAGTAAACATTGGAATCTAGAATCATTTCATTGAATTAAGGGTTATTGTCCTCTATATAAACATTCCTAATTGAAAACAAACAAAAAGATTACCTATTTATTTATTAAAAACAATAGACCAATCCAAAGCAGAAATAATTTTAGATGAAAACATGAAAAAATCAAGTGGGTGGAATTTTTTGCCTGTCAGTGTATTTTAGAGCTATGGTTCAGTGGGATAATTGGGACAACATTATAGCAGAATAATTTGATTCGTATTATTTAACAACCGTTTTATCAAAAATTGCTAGATGAATATTTAGAAATTAAAGTAAAATTTACTGTTTCTTTTTATATGATGAGTTATATAGCACCTACTAACACAGGTGTTAAATATATCAAAGTTTTATGCCTTAAAGCCCCAACTAATGACAAAAGCTTCTACTTAATGTCCAGATTTTATTTATGCATAATCCCATCATTTCACCAACTTGAAATGAATCTAACCATTTATTTATTTCCCCCACTCCCATGCCAATATGGCAATACACGTGCCAGTGAATCTAATCAATACATGTCTGAATAACATATATTTTTTGAAAAAAAGTTCTGAGATGATGTGTTTTGAGATATTCAAAATAAAACATTCCTCTAGCAGCGTCACACACTCAACTCGAGCTCTCTAGAAGATATTCTTCCTTGTAATTCCAAACAACTAGTCTCCCTACCAAACAACAAATTTCAAGATGGTAATAGTATTCCTGGGTTTACCCACTGGAGCCAGTATCCTTTCTCCTATCCTCTCTTCACTGCAGCCACACAACAACTGCTTACCAAAATAAAAACTTTTGTCCCTCTCCTCTTTGGGATTTTCCTTCTTGGGTAACTACAGAGCAGCTGTTTTCTTTTCCCTGCACTAGTAGAACTAGATTAGCTTGCCTTTTAATTGTTCAACATCAATTTATTAAACTCTTTTTACTGACTCCCAATAAAGTTGTACGTTACATTTCTCCCCACGTCTGGGTAAAAAAAAAAATATTTTAAGTAAAATATATATATATTTTTTTTACATTTAGGTGAATACTGAAATATCTGCACATTATTTATTCATTACAAACAACTTTTTTTTTTAAAGATTCCCCCTGAGTTACATCTTAACTATTTTTTTTTTTAAACTTTTATCTTTTTCTTACAGATTCTTTTCTTAAAGATCTATTCATATGAGATATTGCCAAATACAACATAAATTACATTAACATATGAATACTAAAATTAAATTGAAAACCATACCTTAATTTTAATATAATTTATGCAATATATGAACTATACACAGTAATTAAATAACTTGTTCATATAATTTATGCACAAGAAAAATAATTAAAATAGATTGATATATAATTAATAAAATAAGCTATATACATTATTTACAAAAAAAAACTTTACAGTATAATTTCTATATCTTACACACAATTAACTTACAAAATAATTGCTTATATTAATGGTGTAACATTCTGAAATATTAATAACTTTTATTACAGGAATAAACAGAGAACACACATTTGCATTTAAAAATATAGAAAGTTATAAATACTGAGTTAAACTTCATGAAAGAGTTTTAAAAGTCTGGTGTGAAATAGACCAATTGTATTACCACTGTTTGGACAATCTATCGAAATTGAGTGTTTGCCCAGCTGATTTGTTATTTCAAAATTCATGTTTCTATTATCTTTTAAATATTATTATCAGAAATTATATTTATATTTTAGTTAATAAATCTACCCTAAATCAATAATTTACTCTGCGGTCCATTACCTTTCATTTATAAAATTTATAATTAAAATCCTAATCCTATCTATACCAATCTAATTACACTATTTACAAAGATATCTTCACCATATGTACAAGTTATCCAGATTAGGTAAGCAAAATATGGTTTCGCCAGGACCCTTTAGCTCGTCAACGGAAGGGACGCTAATTTAAAACCCCTTTTTTATCGTCTGGAATTGGATAAAGATTTCCGTGAGTTAACATAATATATTAAGCGG